GTCGATTGTTGTTTACCTGATGACTTGTTTACGTGATGACTATTTTGTTTACCTGGTCACTTGTTGCTTACTCGGTGACTTTTTTCTTTACTTGACGGCTATTTTGTTTACCTGGTGAATATTTGGTTTACCTGGTGCCTTGTTGCTTACCTGGAGACCTTTTGTTTATTTGATGGCTATTTGTTTACCTGATGACCTGTTGTTTACCTGGTGACTTGCTTACCTGATAACTATTTTGTTTACCTGGCAACTTGTTGCTTACCTGGCGACTTGTTGCTTACCTGGCGACCTTTTGTTTACTTAATGGCTATTTTGCTTACCTGATGTCTTGTTGTTTACCTGGTGAGTAGTATACACAATGGGGGAACGGGAGCCACTCATCATTATTAAACGTTTTCATCTCAATTCTGCTCCTCAGCCCGAACTGAAAGCGACACATTTCCCATGTGTTTATCTTTTGGTGTTCCGCTAAATCTGTTGTGGGCGCAGAATTTGGGTTAGAACGCATAACGACGGTGAGTGGTCCCTCCTTGGTGACTTGTTGTTTACTTGATGACTGGTTTGTTTACCTGGTGATGTTTTTGTTTACCTGGTGACTTGTTGCTTACCTGGTGATGTGTATGTTCACCTGGTGATTGGTTTGTTTATCTGCTGACTTGTTGTTTACTTGATGACTATTTTGTTTATCTGGTCACTTGTTATTTACCTCGTGACTTGTTGCTTACCTGGTAACTTGTTTTTCTACCTGTTGACTTGTTTTTTTACCTGGTAAATTGTTTCTCTACCTGGCGACCTGATGATATGTACCTAGTCCTTTGGATCTTTATCTGGTGACGTTATTTACTTGGTTAACTTCTTTTTCTACCTGGTGACTTGTTTGTTTACTTGGTGACTTGTTGCTTACCTTGTAACTTGTTTTCTACCTGTTGACTTGTTTGTTTACCTGGTAAATTGTTTTTCTACCTGGCGACCTGATGATATGTACCTATAGCTAGTCCTTTGGATCTTTATCTGGTGACATGTTGCTTACCCGGTGAATTATTGTTTCCTTGGTGACTTGTGGTTTAGCTATTGACTTTCGCATTTACCTGGTGAGTTGTTGTGGATTTGAAGACATGTTGTTTACCTAGACGTTACCTGTTGTTCACCTGGTGACAACTTTGTTTACCTGGTGACTTGTTTGTTTACCTGGAATGCATATTTCATCGAATCCCCACGTTATGCTGTGCACAAGGCATTCATTCTTCTTGTAGTTAATCACATACCGCTTTCCCTGCAAAGAGTTTAAAAGGAGACATTTACACAACGTACTGGTCATTAAATTAACCATTCCGCGAGAAATGATTGCAAACACAGATGTTTATGTGATTATAAAAAATGCTATGTTCCCATACACGTTGCAAATGTACTATGTGTTGCGAAAATATCCCGGGCCCACTCACCACAAACAGTTTCCTGAAATTCTAGAGTTCGAAGGCTCTAAAGTGATATCACCATTACCATCTTTGGTATCGCCGACTGATGATTTCAGACCCGACTAATGCCAGTTGTATAATGCTAGCTAACAAAGTGAGTAACCCGTGAAGATCCGGGCTAGAATTGGACTTCAGTAACCCATGCTTGTCGTAAGAAGCGAGTAACGGATCAAGCGTTCAGGCTAGCTGACTTAGTTGACATATGTCATCGTACCACAATTGCGTAGTCCCGTGTTCATGCTGTTGATCACCGGGTTGTCTGGCTCTGACTCAATTATTTATATATCACCGCCATATAGCTAGATTATTCCTGAGGCGGCGTTAAACAACAACCAATCAATCAATCAATCAATGATTAAGTGAGTACTGTCTTACGCCGTCCTTACCAATAATACAGCAACATCACCAGAACACTAAGAAATGGGCTTCACTATTGTACACATGTGGACAATCGAACCCGGACCCTTCATTGTTACAATCGATCACTTTATCCTCTAGGCTACCAGAGCGCCTATCAGTAAGATACTGTGTGCCACGGTGGAAACCAGAACGAGACAGCGCCCTGGTTTCAGCAAAGTAGCCGGTAATAATAAGTACCATTTTTACGCACATCGGTATGACACGGCCGGGATCAAACCACCAAGCTACCAATCTGTCTGCATTCTCTTCATCAGCTACAGTACGTCAATGGTAATCTTCCCCTTGATGTCCGCCAGTGTCAAACCTGTTCTGCCTTCAAAACAGCTATCAAAACCCATCTTTTCAGCTAAGCTTTCTTCTGATCACTGCGCTTTGAACATAATATCCAAGTATGGAAAAGCGCAATACAAATCCACTATTATTATTATTATAATGAAAACATATCTTGTCTGCTATTGGTTTTTAGCACAAATTTATAAATGTTTCGGAAAGAAATAATTGTTTACCTCACGTGAACGATGTTTTGTTTGAAAATAGAAACAATTTTGGGGCATACATGGTTGATATATGATCGTCTTACTGATGTAATGTTTTGATATCGTGACGTATCTTTCTGTATGCTATTTTTCTTTGATTAGCTACAAAACATAGTATTACGTAATACCACTTTACATCCAAGCCATCATGCTATTACTCACATTACACTCACTTATAACCGACATGATAGCATCAACGTAAATGTCAAATTGAATAATGACAAAACATTACACATTCATTTTCAAAATGGCATATGTACTTAAGCAGTTAATTTTGATTTATTGCAAGATCAAATCGTAGATTTTGATCAATCATAATAACATATATATGCCAAACTACTTATATAGGTATAATTCATTTTCAAAACCTCATGCATACGTACGTAAGGCTAATGCACGAGTTCAATGTATTGAAATTAAAATCAAATGTTATGTGCAAGAGATGGGCAAAATCAAAATGTACAACTTTGTACATTTGTGTGACATAAATAGGGTATCATACTCGTTTGGAGAGTAAGACAGACAGACACATTCATTTTGTAGAGTGGCCATGAGGCTAAAAAGTACAGTGACACTTTTTACGTAATTTTCTTTGGAGCGCTGACATGGGAAGTACATTGCACTAAGCGTCATAAAACGTTAGGGAGTTTGTTTACAAATATAGCTAAACGTAAAATAACATTTGTATTTTGGGTATTAAGTAAATTCACAAATATCTGTATGTTTGGATTTACATAATAATATTGGGGTATATATCCGCTGCGTAAATCTGAAGAAACAGGGCATTGTAATAGAACATGGTACTCGTCCTGGACAATATTGATGCAATGGGCGCACATGGCAGAACCGATATCATCATCTTTGGATCTTCTATAGGTTTGTACATTCAGTTTACTAATGCCGCATCTAAATTTTGTGAGAGATCTGCGAAGTTGCATAGATGATAATACTTTTGAATATGTTTCAAAGACAATATCGTTTTTAAATAATGAATATTGCAGAGTAGGCTCTCGCCAGATGACAGCCTTCCAATGACTACGTTTACAGATTACGTCAGATTTGACATGCACATTGATAAAGGACAATTCGCAAATAGATGGAAGATACAATGTTAACCTAAACCTCTAAAAGTACTGATATAGACAGTCTGAAGGAGTTCATCTGGAGGTTTAGTTAAACATGTGTTCCTGTGAACTATGACTGCACGGTATTGCCGGTGTACTCTTTTACCGCAATATGTATCTCGAACCCTACTATGAGACTCGGTATACTGGGTAAAAGATTAAGACGTTTTGTTATTATCTTTGTGGTTTTAGTTACAAACCCACATACTTTCATTCGCAACTGATGTTTCTTTTCTCAGTTAAATTACAAGATGGAATACATGCTGGAAATTGTACAAATGGAAACAAATTAAAACCCCTAGTTTTCCATCTAACTTAAAAATTGTCAGAACTATAACATTATATTTTTTATGCCCTCAATATGTAAAAAGTAGGATCTTCTTGTACGATCAGTGTCACTGACAAACATCTCCTAGCATATCGCAATACATGTTGCATTATTGATTTGTGACTCGCAATACATTAAAATACAAGTTATTAGGCAATACATGTTCATATCTACTGGGATCTGTGCTGTTCATGTCAAGAAAATAAATCGTTCCTCAATATAGATGAGTGAGTGAGTGAGTTAATATTTAACGTCACATACACAAACACGCATACACAGAGACACACATTGCACACAAATCAGAAACAACACGAATACAACATTAAATCCTAATCTTGTCGCATAATCATCGCAATATCTCGCTGATTTCGAGGCGACCATTCTCCGAGCTTTAATCTAGCCAGAAGGGGAGAAGAATGCATATGTGTGTCAGAGCGCCCATAATGCCACTGTATTATGCCCACTGTGATATTGGTAGATTTTATGTTATCAACGATATGTTGTTATGCGGGTTACTTCCCTTGAGCGGATGTAAAAAACAACAACCCAAAACACATTTTTGGGGCGGTGCCATATGTGCGATTCTGTTTGCAGTTGCGACTCTAGATCAGGTTGACAAGCACAATTTGGGATGTACACAATCCTTACAATGCTTTTACGATGCCAAAGACAAGACTACATATTGAACTATTGGACACCATGAAGCTGCGTCGCAAATCTATGGAACTTCAAGTTGGCGACAAGACCGTTACACTTTTATCAAATTAGCAATCAATCAATGCAATCCGTCAGAGCTGTTTCAGAAAGGAAACAGCAGTATTATGAAGTTCACTTCATGTTGATCCCTCAACCACAGAGCTGATATTAGTAGAGGTATTGCTTGCTCACTCACTCTCGCACGCACTCCCTCACTCACTCACACATGACAGTAAATAATTCAGTCTTGACCAGACAATCCAGGGATCAACATCATGAGCATCGATTGGGACACGATGACATGTGTCTACAACGTCAGCGAGCCTGACCAGCCGATCCATTTAGTCGCCTTTTAAAACAAGCATGGTTTCCTGAAGATCATTTCTAAAGGGTTCTTCACGGGTCGACATCAGGATTGACGAATGCTTGGTATAAGTTTATTATTGTTGATAGAGATACAGTATTACATGAAACGCGTCAATGCTGGAGACTCATGGTAAGTCGAGATCTGTCAGGAGAATAGACTGGTCATCTTGCATGTCACTTGCTGATGTTTTAATGTCGCAGTAAGGTTGCCATAGCACCGGGAAGCCCATGGGAAACGACTTCCTGTGACAGATGCAGAAAATTATTTTATATAGATTGACATAAAATAAAATAAAACACATTTCAAAACAGATCCTTCGGTTTCTTTTGCGAAATATCCCCAAAACATCCGTTGTGTACCTTCTTTTATGCATCAGTATATATGCAGCGTTCAGGTAAGACCATAACAGTCAAGCTGCGTAGCATAAAAGGCTTAAGGCCCTTGACCCCTCTATACGCAGCCAAAAATTGGTAATATATTTTAACCCTAGATAGTTTGTGGTCTAGATCTCACCAGGAACGTTTTGAAGAATGTGGAAAACCCACAACACTTCCTGCATTACCCAGAGTGTCCGACGGTTTGTGTTTGTGTTCACAAAGTCAGCCAACAGATCAGGAAATACCAAACCTAAGGTACTGTTGGGAGTTGGGAATCGGGTACCTTGATGAAGGCACTGCCCTTTGTTAGCGATGCACTGCATATTGGCAATATTTTTGCGGTTTGACTACTCTTTAGATTTAATGCTCCCCATGTTGATTCCTGCTCCGTTTGACAACGTTTCAGCTTGGCTACTTAGTTTGTCTACTACTCAGCTTGGCTACTCAGTTTGACAACGTTTCAGCTTGGCTACTCAGTTTGACTACTACTCAGCTTGGCTACTCAGTTTGACTACTACTCAGTTTGACTTCTCCGTCAGCTTGGCTATTCAGTTTCACTACTCCTCAGCTTGGCTACTTAGTCTGACTACTACTCAGCTTGGCTACTCAGTTTGACTACTACTCAGCTTGGCTACTCAGTTTTACTACTCCTCAGCTTGGCTACTCAGTTTGACTACTCCTCAGCTTGGCTACTCAGTCTGACTACTACTCAGCTTGGCTACTCAGTTTGACTACTTCTCAGCTTGGCTACTCAGTTTGACTACTACTCAGTTTGACTACTCCGTCAGCTTGGCTACTCAGTTTCACTACTCCTCAGCTTGGCTACTTAGTCTGACTACTACTCAGCTTGGTTACTCAGTTTGACTACTCCTCAGCTTGGCTACTCAGTTTGACTACTCCTCAGCTTGGCTACTCCTCAGCTTGGCTACTCAGTTTGACTACTCCTCAGCTTGGCTACTCAGTTTGACTACTCCTCAGCTTGGCTACTTAGTTTGTCTACTACTCAGCTTGGCTACTCAGTCTGACTACTACTCAGCTTGGCTACTTAGTTTGTCTACTACTCAGCTTGGCTACTCAGATTGACTACTCCTCAGTTTGACTAGTTCTCAGCATGACTACTTCTCAACTGACTACTTCTCAGATTGACTACTCTTCAGTTTGAATACGCATCAGCTTGACTACGCAACTGATTCATCTCATATTGAGTACTCTTCAGTTTGACTACTCCACAGACTTACAACTCCTCACGTTCCTTACCGCCTTTGTGCAGTCATTGGGTGGAGTGAACACATCTGATTCCTCAGGTGGAAAGGGGGACACAACGTCGCCCAACAGGGAGACGGTCAGATATGTATCTGTAAAACACAGTAGCATATGGTCATCAATTTGCCAAGGGTAACGACAGGTGACCAAGTCAAAGATCAAGTATTTTACAAGGCCAAGTATTTTACAAGATACAGACATATAAATATTGGGTCATTTGTATCAAACATTCTCAGCAACATTTCGACCTATATGACTTCGGGATTTCCTCCAACGTCAATGTTAAACACCCATATTTTTATATAGTTTGAAATGGGAAATGCAGGCACCTTTTGCTTTACGAACTGCATCAACTCATGTGTCATAATTTGTTGTTTCTTGTAGCTTTTTTTCCTTGTCTTTTTTTTCTTTTTTTTACCTCAGCAAACTTACTCTGTTTCAGGCCAAGTTACTGGAGCACAACATACTACAGTAGAAGTGTAGAGACAAGCGGGGCATTTGTTTACACAAATATCTTCAGCCTGTACTTACCATCGTCCAATCCGTGTTTAAGGACCTGAACAGGTACGTAATGGTCCTTGGTGAGTGTGACAGTCAGATCTGTATGATCGCCATGGTAGTCTACCCTCTTGTTGAATCCCACAGCGTCAATATGTCCCCCTTCACTGGTGTCCAGACCAAGAACGTATTCAAATATTTTATCCGAATAATCTTAAAAGAAATCAATGAATCTTAGATTTCATTACTAGTTTTAAATTTATATCTGTGATAGTCTAGTTGCTTTACTGTCCTTTGTTGATATAGATTTTTAATAATTAAAAGTACAGTTTATAAACACCAAACTTGATTTAGTCACGATATGGCGGAAATATTGCCGATGTGACTTACAATTTTAAGTCACTCGTACGAATCATGCATTTTTCATGGTACGTGAAAAACGTAATTGTTGACATTGGTCCAAATGCACATGATTTTGGACCTAGCAAGCATGCAGTAATAAAACAAACTCAACAAGAATATGCTTAGACTTACGCAAGCGCAACGAGACAAGGTGACCGGTATGGTCAGTATGACAGCAGCTTCAACTGCAGCCAGGCAGTGTGCGAAATTGCCACTAACCCGTTAGCCGGTGGCTAGTAAAAATCCAGTCAGGCCAGTAAATCTCCACAGTCACTGGCTCTACTGGCTACTGAATCTTCTTGAGGTCATTTTTTAGATATATCACCGACTTGTTAATATACAAATTACCCTTTTAAATCATGAAAGATTATGGCCCGATAAATTATGGTGTATTACCTTTTAGTAATCTTTTGCTTAGTTTCTACACTCAAATTTCGGGCTTGTGAATTATTTTGTGGGCAAGTAACTCAAGGCATAGCTAGCTTGACTGGCAAAACTATTTCGCACACTGCAGCCAAACCACCATCAGCAAATTGATAAATCGCTACCAGCAAACAAGTTCACCCAATGTCGGGACGACCAAGTGTCAAGAGAGCGCTACATTGGGCAGACAGACCAGATCAGCAGATTCAAGACAGTGAAGTCAACGGCGGTGACAACACTAGGACACACCATCAGCAGACGGACATCCCTACGACGACATGTTATGGGGCGGCATTTGTGGCCAGAGAACAACAATACCGGTTATCATCCGACGACACCTGAATGCCCAGCGATACAGGGTTCAAATGTTAAGACCTGTTGTGCGGCCCTTTATTCGACAACAGCCAAGATGAGTCACTCTGCAGCACGATAACGCAAAGCCTCACGCCGCCAGAATTGTTCGAGAACGTATTGCCTTGGTCAGCGCTTTCTTCAGATATGAAACCCACTGAACACCCCACTCCAGGATCATGCTGAGCTGAGACCACCTCCACAGAACCGACCGGAACTTGAACAGCCTCGCCTGGATTTATGGAACATGATTCCGCGTGTCGTCATCATAATGAGAACAAATGCGTAAGTTAAATGTGTTTGCTGAAGGTAGAGTCCATTGCTTGGCTCCAACTTTGTCGTAAGCTTGTTTTTTTATGAAACTCTCAAACATAGGCATTTATCAAATTGCACCAGGGATCCGCGAAGACATTTGCGTCACAAACACATGCAAGGCTAGTCAATTCAAGGGAATTGAAGTTAACGTGTGTCAGTCTTGTGGATCTGGTTCTGTCACAACGCCTAGTTCTAAATGAAGACAATGACACTTTTTACTGGTCTCGTTTCTAGTTCAGGAGGATAGATTAGTAAAAGCGATCGATGATATATCTACAGTTTAAGTAATACTTCCTGTCTGAATTCTGACAGGATTATTAACAGACCGCCACCATTTGCTGGAATATTGCTGAGTGCGGCGTAAAACTAAACCCACTCACTAAAGGCGAAGGTGATGTGCATGTTTACCTGGGTACGTGTTTGTTTATCTGGTGACATTTTTGTTTACCTGGTGATGTGCATGTTTACCTGTCGATTGTTGTTTACCTGATGACTTGTTTACGTGATGACTATTTTGTTTACCTGGTCACTTGTTGCTTACTCGGTGACTTTTTCTTTACTTGACGGCTATTTTGTTTACCTGGTGAATATTTGGTTTACCTGGTGCCTTGTTGCTTACCTGGAGACCTTTTGTTTATTTGGTGGCTATTTGTTTACCTGATGACCTGTTGTTTACCTGGTGACTTGCTTACCTGATAACTATTTTGTTTACCTGGCAACTTGTTGCTTACCTGGCGACTTGTTGCTTACCTGGCGACCTTTTGTTTACTTAATGGCTATTTTGCTTACCTGATGTCTTGTTGTTTACCTGGTGAGTAGTATACACAATGGGGGAACGGGAGCCACTCATCATTATTAAACGTTTTCATCTCAATTCTGCTCCTCAGCCCGAACTGAAAGCGACACATTTCCCATGTGTTTATCCTTTGGTGTTCCGCTAAATCTGTTGTGGGCGCAGAATTTGGGTTAGAACGCATAACGACGGTGAGTGGTCCCTCCTTGGTGACTTGTTGTTTACTTGATGACTGGTTTGTTTACCTGGTGATGTTTTTGTTTACCTGGTGACTTGTTGCTTACCTGGTGATGTGTATGTTCACCTGGTGATTGGTTTGTTTATCTGCTGACTTGTTGTTTACTTGATGACTATTTTGTTTATCTGGTCACTTGTTATTTACCTCGTGACTTGTTGCTTACCTGGTAACTTGTTTTTCTACCTGTTGACTTGTTTTTTTACCTGGTAAATTGTTTCTCTACCTGGCGACCTGATGATATGTACCTAGTCCTTTGGATCTTTATCTGGTGACGTTATTTACTTGGTTAACTTCTTTTTCTACCTGGTGACTTGTTTGTTTACTTGGTGACTTGTTGCTTACCTTGTAACTTGTTTTCTACCTGTTGACTTGTTTGTTTACCTGGTAAATTGTTTTTCTACCTGGCGACCTGATGATATGTACCTATAGCTAGTCCTTTGGATCTTTATCTGGTGACATGTTGCTTACCCGGTGAATTATTGTTTCCTTGGTGACTTGTGGTTTAGCTATTGACTTTCGCATTTACCTGGTGAGTTGTTGTGGATTTGAAGACATGTTGTTTACCTAGACGTTACCTGTTGTTCACCTGGTGACAACTTTGTTTACCTGGTGACTTGTTTGTTTACCTGGAATGCATATTTCATCGAATCCCCACGTTATGCTGTGCACAAGGCATTCATTCTTCTTGTAGTTAATCACATACCGCTTTCCCTGCAAAGAGTTTAAAAGGAGACATTTACACAACGTACTGGTCATTAAATTAACCATTCCGCGAGAAATGATTGCAAACACAGATGTTTATGTGATTATAAAAAATGCTATGTTCCCATACACGTTGCAAATGTACTATGTGTTGCGAAAATATCCCGGGCCCACTCACCACAAACAGTTTCCTTAAATTCTAGAGTTCGAAGGCTCTAAAGTGATATCACCATTACCATCTTTGGTATCGCCGACTGATGATTTCAGACCCGACTAATGCCAGTTGTATAATGCTAGCTAACAAAGTGAGTAACCCGTGAAGATCCGGGCTAGAATTGGACTTCAGTAACCCATGCTTGTCGTAAGAAGCGAGTAACGGGATCAAGCGTTCAGGCTAGCTGACTTAGTTGACATATGTCATCGTACCACAATTGCGTAGTCCCGTGTTCATGCTGTTGATCACCGGGTTGTCTGGCTCTGACTCAATTATTTATATATCACCGCCATATAGCTAGATTATTCCTGAGGCGGCGTTAAACAACAACCAGTCAATCAATCAATCAATGATTAAGTGAGTACTGTCTTACGCCGTCCTTACCAATAATACAGCAACATCACCAGAACACTAAGAAATGGGCTTCACTATTGTACACATGTGGACAATCGAACCCGGACCCTTCATTGTTACAATCGATCACTTTATCCTCTAGGCTACCAGAGCGCCTATCAGTAAGATACTGTGTGCCACGGTGGAAACCAGAACGAGACAGCGCCCTGGTTTCAGCAAAGTAGCCGGTAATAATAAGTACCATTTTTACGCACATCGGTATGACACGGCCGGGATCAAACCACCAAGCTACCAATCTGTCCGCATTCTCTTCATCAGCTAAAGTACGTCAATGGTAATCTTCCCCTTGATGTCCGCCAGTGTCAAACCTGTTCTGCCTTCAAAACAGCTATCAAAACCCATCTTTTCAGCTAAGCTTTCTTCTGATCACTGCGCTTTGAACATAATATCCAAGTATGGAAAAGCGCAATACAAATCCACTATTATTATTATTATAATGAAAACATATCTTGTCTGCTATTGGTTTTTAGCACAAATTTATAAATGTTTCGGAAAGAAATAATTGTTTACCTCACGTGAACGATGTTTTGTTTGAAAATAGAAACAATTTTGGGGCATACATGGTTGATATATGATCGTCTTACTGATGTAATGTTTTGATATCGTGACGTATCTTTCTGTATGCTATTTTTCTTTGATTAGCTACAAAACATAGTATTACGTAATACCACTTTACATCCAAGCCATCATGCTATTACTCACATTACACTCACTTATAACCGACATGATAGCATCAACGTAAATGTCAAATTGAATAATGACAAAACATTACACATTCATTTTCAAAATGGCATATGTACTTAAGCAGTTAATTTTGATTTATTGCAAGATCAAATCGTAGATTTTGATCAATCATAATAACATATATATGCCAAACTACTTATATAGGTATAATTCATTTTCAAAACCTCATGCATACGTACGTAAGGCTAATGCACGAGTTCAATGTATTGAAATTAAAATCAAATGTTATGTGCAAGAGATGGGCAAAATCAAAATGTACAACTTTGTACATTTGTGTGACATAAATAGGGTATCATACTCGTTTGGAGAGTAAGACAGACAGACACATTCATTTTGTAGAGTGGCCATGAGGCTAAAAGTACAGTGACACTTTTTTACGTAATTTTCTTTGGAGCGCTGACATGGGAAGTACATTGCACTAAGCGTCATAAAACGTTAGGGAGTTTGTTTACAAATATAGCTAAACGTAAAATAACATTTGTATTTTGGGTATTAAGTAAATTCACAAATATCTGTATGTTTGGATTTACATAATAATATTGGGGTATATATCCGCTGCGTAAATCTGAAGAAACAGGGCATTGTAATAGAACATGGTACTCGTCCTGGACAATATTGATGCAATGGGCGCACATGGCAGAACCGATATCATCATCTTTGGATCTTCTATAGGTTTGTACATTCAGTTTACTAATGCCGCATCTAAATTTTGTGAGAGATCTGCGAAGTTGCATAGATGATAATACTTTTGAATATGTTTCAAAGACAATATCGTTTTTAAATAATGAATATTGCAGAGTAGGCTCTCGCCAGATGACAGCCTTCCAATGACTACGTTTTTACAGATTACGTCAGATTTGACATGCAAATTGATAAAGGACAATTCGCAAATAGATGGAAGATACAATGTTAACCTAAACCTCTAAAAGTACTGATATAGACAGTCTGAAGGAGTTCATCTGGAGGTTTAGTTAAACATGTGTTCCTGTGAACTATGACTGCACGGTATTGCCGGTGTACTCTTTTACCGCAATATGTATCTCGAACCCTACTATGAGACTCGGTATACTGGGTAAAAGATTAAGACGTTTTGTTATTATCTTTGTGGTTTTAGTTACAAACCCACATACTTTCATTCGCAACTGATGTTTCTTTTCTCAGTTAAATTACAAGATGGAATACATGCTGGAAATTGTACAAATGGAAACAAATTAAAACCCCTAGTTTTCCATCTAACTTAAAAATTGTCAGAACTATAACATTATATTTTTATGCCCTCAATATGTAAAAAGTAGGATCTTCTTGTACGATCAGTGTCACTGACAAACATCTCCTAGCATATCGCAATACATGTTGCATTATTGATTTGTGATTCGCAATACATTAAAATACAAGTTATTAGGCAATACATGTTCATATCTACTGGGATCTGTGCTGTTCATGTCAAGAAAATAAATCGTTCCTCAATATAGATGAGTGAGTGAGTGAGTTAATATTTAACGTCACATCGGCAATATCTCAGCCATATCGTGACGAAAACAATTTATACAATATAAAGAGAAAACGTTTTGAAGATTAAAACCTGTCGACGATGGACAGTAAAAATACTAGAGAATCACAGATATGAATAAAAATAGCGAGCAAAGCTAAAACATTTTAATTAAAGAGGACAATACAGCATAAAACACGGGCTAGAGATCGCCAACAACTGAAGGTAGATCACCATACTAAGAACCATGGGGACTTACATTACTTTTGCTACCTGCATGGACCCTAGTTGGATTTACACCATCCCTTCAGCCGCTGGCGATTGTAGAAAAATGTAGCGGGCAGTTAAAAGAACAAAGATACTACGTTTAAAATATGCTAAATTTACATTTTACTTTGAAAGTTTTGGGACTTACGTCAATATAGATGAAATGGCAAGGAACTTACGGCACTGTAATCGACAATGACCTTCTTGGATTCATAGTCGTCCCCGATGGTGTAGTTCACCAACTGAGCCGATCTGCCGTTGAGTTTGTCGTAGTACACAGTGGATATGTCCTGTAACATAGCATTACTTAATCAGTATTTCTGTGAAAGTAGTGCGTGATAAAGGTTTCTGTGAACTTAATACATGATCGGTATTTCTGTGAATGTAGTGCATGATCACTCTTTCTGTGAAAGTAGTACATGATAAATAATTATGCGAAAGTAATGCATGATACATTTTTCTGTGAAAGTAGTGCACGATGACATATATGTAATGGTAACACAGACCCAATACATCTGTAACACACACATTCATCCATCCATCCATACATACACGCACGCAAGCACGCACCGAACATAATACCAAACCCTAATCGTAACACAGCTGAACCCGCAGAAGGTTGTGGTCAGGACTGGCCAAGATTCGTCATGCAGGTAAATGGGATTCGAACCTAATAGCCATCCTGCATCGTGACACAACCAAACCCACGCCCCTTTATATACAACCTGCCATATAGAGGATAAAACTTACTTTGTCATTGAATCCTCTGTAAAACCCATTAATTTTCGAGACCGTGAAACCGATAGCCCTTTCCCGGACTCTCCATGACGGCGGAGCACATCGTTGTTTAGCCATAGCCACGGCGACGACCACGGGGACGACAGCTATCAACGTCAACACGTTCATAGTTCTGGAGGACAATCTAGTAGAACCCACAGTGGCTGACGTTTAAACCTATAAAACAAGAACGCCCTCAGAATATTGTGTTGAAGTATCTCATTTAAGTTAACACCGGGTATTTGCCAACGGCTTGTTTTATAAATACAATCTATCGTCGTGTAAATATTAATATTACAGATGAAACATATTGAATGTGCAGACTGCTTTGTTAGGAAACATAATAACAAGATACGAACAAACGGAACGGAGACAATATATTAAAACTAAACATACTGTTTTACCCGTTCAGGATTACTGAATATGATGTGTTGTTAGAGATGGATCTAATAACGTAGTGATGTGACAACCTCCAGTCTTGTGTGACCACACGAATCTAGACACATCTGTTACGTGGTATGTAGTCAAGGTTAATGCGAGTTATGCCCCTTGGGTTGACACATGTGAACTAAGTCATGATGTAAAGAAGCTCAAACGATATGTGTCGTTCTCTCTTACTGAAATCAGGTGCCATACACATGTAAACACGTAACAACATCTATTACACATTGGAATCTCAATAGTGTGTCAATTGTAATACAAGCGTAGGTTTTGAATGGGGCGTGGGGTCACGTGACGGATATATGTAAAAGGTAACACTGTTGAAAGTTGTCATAAAACATAGATTAACAGTAGTGAGTGAGTGAGCACTCACATTGCTTTTAGCAATAGTCCAGCAATATCACAGCGGGGATACTGTTACGGTTAATAATTTGCCGCGACAAACTTTGTGAGTCTCCTTTCAACCAGCAATATACAACAGAGACAAGTCTATAATATTCATCTGCATATTAAATAAAATGAGTCTGAGTCTGAGTTTTAGTTTTACGCCGCTTTTAGGAACATTCCAGCAAGATCACGGCGAGGGACACCAGGAATGGGCTTCACACATTGTGCCCATGTGGGGAATCGAACCCGGGTCTTCGGCGTGACGCGCCAAAGCTTTAACCATTAGGCTACCACACCGCCATGAACAATGTTACAATGAATGACAGTACATATTTTTAATTCAATGCAGTTGAGTCACAAATCTAAAATATTAGGTCACAAATCTAAATTATTAACTCACCAGAGTCTTGACATTCACAGTGAGAACAAACATACTGATGGACGGTTGTTGACAATGACAGCAGTGGAATAGACAAGCACGGTCGGTCTTGAAACGTTGATAAATTTGATGATGCAGACTGATGTGTATGAATCCAAAGTCCTCAAAGTCATGTGTTAGTGCCGTCACAAAACTCAACAATCATCCTTTATATAGCTCTTACACAGTTCTCGAGCGATCTATCAGAACATTATTGAATGCCATCGAAAACACAAGACTCCACGAGAAGCCATAACCGGAAGTCAAACAAATACACAAGCCAGCAAAGGGCAGGTAATTCTAAAGCTTGCCGCTAAAACTACTATTGTCATTGAACATACATGATGCTAGAGGCGAGTCAAAACCCACACTCAAAACTGTAAACTTTGTGACCCATAATATTTATCAGTTAATCAACGTGATGTTATAATTTACAAAAAACGCACTCTCATAACAACACCAGAAATGGGCTTCACACGTTGTACGTAACCCCATGAGGAGGACTCGAAACCGGGTCTTCGGCGTGACGAGCGAACACTTAAACCACTAGGCTACCCCACCACCCAGATTAACAGTAACGGAATGAACACATGTTGTAGTGTCATATATATCCTTGGTGTATCATTATAGGGACGGCGGGGTAGCCTAGAGGTTAGAGCGTTTGCATACATACATCGTAAATGTCACCACTTTTGACACGTTTTGCCTCAATTAGTGTATGTCTTGTTTTAAATGTTGTTTTCGTTGAAAATTGTTGTTTGATTAAATCACCAATGGTCATTCTGAAACATCGTCGATGAATCGCTCAGAATGTTTTGGACAATATGCACACACGAACGTCGAGGGCCATATTGCAGAGTCTTTGTAAAATACCATGTCATGATTGTCGGTTATGTTTGGCCGATAGCACCACCTATAAATCAGAATCCTTTCCTTACACGTATCCTTACACGAATCCATCATACAGTTCAATATAAGATGACAAATGATCTTTGTCACCAATACCAAGTCTCTCAGTGAAACCCAGAGAAATATATCAGATGGCGGAGCGAATGCCGCCCTGGGAAAGGACGGCTTGTTTGAATGTAAACAAAGTAAAGATCAGATTTTACAAAGTGTATCATTTTCTCATATCCGTTCGCCTACTCGTTGCATACGCTTGTACGTTTTAGCGTGCATACATTAGAAGTGTACCACAGCTGAAAATAGGTGTATTCCAATGATTTCCAAGATTCAACAGAATATATAACAGTTTCCATAAGCTGGACGCCATGACAGACACAAACTGACGCACAACGATGACGGTACTTCTCCTCATGTCTGACCATTTCCCTTGGTCACAATGAAAACATAAAGAAAATAACAACAAGCAGATTGTCAGGATGTTTCGGACCACTGACACTATTATTATTATGTTTTACAGATTAAAGATAGTATGCAGCAGAGAGGGTTCGGGTGATCCTGGCACAGTCAGGCTGGTAAGGCTCATCATCAGCTCAGGGCCCTTGCCCCCTCTACACGCAGCCCAGACAGTGAATCGAACTTTTCCCAGGAAACGCTGCCTAGTCGAACCCACCAAGAACTTTCCGGAGAATATGAAGGCTCCCCAACACTGCAGCCTTCTGCATTACCCAGAGTGTCAGAAGGGCTGTTCTCCCGGTGGAGAACCCGGGCACTCTCCTGATCTGCGCCAAGAGATCAGGAGGTACCAAACCAAGGGCACCGAGAACAATGGGGAGCCTGGCGACAGTGTACTTGGGATGCAAGCGAGACATTTCAAAGGCGAGGTCCGCATATTTATCATGCTTTTCCTGAATCTTGCCAATCAGATTGGTGTCAAAAGGGAAAGAAAATCCAATGATATAAATAAATTCATTGGCTTTATCAAAAAGGACAAGATCAGGTTTGTTGGCTGGAATTCTTCTGAGGCTGTATATGGGCCTATTCCACAGAAGTTTGAAAGCATCATTTTCCATGACGCCCTGGACATGTTCAGGGTCGTACCATGGTGGACCTCGGAGTCAAAGCCACAGGCATGTCGGAGACGGTCGTAAAAGCAACGAGCCATGCCATCATGTCGTTTAAGATATGCTGTTTGTGCCAAAGAAGGGCATCCACTGACAAGATGTTGACAGTCTCTGTAAATTCATTACATAGTCGATATTTTCGATTTTTCAACACACTGCATGTACACACGATGCAATGGCTTCTCAGAAAGCCTTTCCACAAAAGACCGACTCTGGGCAGACTTTGTGAATGACTTCACCTGGTTTACTCTCATCACTGTACCGTCCAGCAGTACATCGCCATCAACAAAATCAACCTCAAATATCAGATTCTGTCCAACAACCTTGGCACGCTTAAAATAGCTGTGGAATTCCTTGCTTTCATCATGAGTCTTCACATGCATCACCAGAGGATCATCCGATAAATAAATATGTGCAAAAGTACACAATACAATTCTATCATGAAGAGCCTCCACACTAATCAAACCCCGACCTCCAGAATTGATTGGCATGTATAAACGGTTGAGAGAGGAACGAGGGTGGTGGGCTCTGTTATCAGACATGATCCTTCTGGTCAGACGGTCAAGACTCTATATGTCTTGTTTTGTCCAAACAACTACTCCAAAGGAATAGGAAAGGACTGGCACAGCAAAAGTATTGGTGGCTTTGACCATTTAGCTCTGAGCTCCAGATTTTCTTTAAGCGAGATTTATACTCAGCCCGAAGTTTTTCTTGAATCTGGGCATTTTGGAGTTTGTCTCGAACTTGCATTCCAAGATAGGTGTAGGCCTGATCTTCCACAAGATGCTCAATAACTCCTCCCCCCTGTAACTTGACCGATCCATCATTAACTACCTTGCCACGTTTCAAATGAAGACTATTACATTTGTCCAGTCCAAATGTCATGCCAATACCATTAGAAAAGGACTCGACAAGGAGAACCTGCTCTTCAAATTGGTATCTCCTTTGGCAAGGAGCTCAATATCATACCGCCAAGTACCCATGATCCCAAACTGATTTTTTCTGTCCAGCATATACTAACTGATAAAATAGTAGGTTTAGCAAAACACAATATATATGTTTGAGTGAACAGTCCACATTGTCCTCCGGAACACAGACACAGTTGGCCCCCATTGATTGTCAGCAATATTCCACCTATATATTAGTATTCTGTAAATAATCGAGTCATTCCAGTGAATAACAGGATGAACATCGATCTACACAAGATTGCATATGATGACATGTGTCAACCAAGTCAAGAAAGCATGGGTTGCTGAAGACCAATTCTAACCAGGATCTTCACGGGTAGTTTACAGTTAATCAAACACGGAACAAAGCTCTTGCTCTACTACAGGAGTAGTTTTAATGACAATGCAATAATACAAACGAAATGTACATCAACACAATAGATAAACACACAGATACAGCAATATGTGACGCATATCAAAGCCGGAGAAGAATCTCATATAAGAAAACACATTTTCAGTCTTTAGGGAAAGGCGGCCATCATTGATCAGTCCTCAGTGGAACACTCTTCACAGAGTGCTACCTTCACTACTTCCTTCCAGCTCTTAGTTAGGAACATCCTGAAGGATAAACCACAATGATAGGGTTCTAACTGATCATTGACTTATGGGAATACATGACGCGTTTTATGCGTACCATCCAACTTCTTTATATTTTACCTTTATGCATGGTATTATATGTGTGTCCATCGCCGTCATTGTGCTGGATAGTTGCTTAAGCGGCGTAAAATTAATCATACTCACTCACATGTTCTTAGTACTAGAATGTGACAGGAGCCGTGCAAGATATTGAGAAAAAGATGGCCTTCATCTAGACAACCAATTCTTTCATGTGAATCATAATGAACCTTCGTGAGGGATAAAGAATTGTGATCAATTTATTGTGAGCTGTTGATTATTTATATAATGCATAAAGGATACATCTGAAATCCAATTTTGCGTTTCCTTTTTTCCTGTGAGTATATTTTCAGTTGACAGGATTACGCGTCTACCGTCTACTGACGTCCTTGGTCTGTTATTCTGATAATGGTCTGTTTCGAAAAATATATGATAGTTCAAATTCCCTCCTAGTGTATTCTTTTCGAAAAAAAAGGGAAATCCCTGACAAACACTTATTTCTTTTCTGAAACATCGTCATGAACGCCTCACCGAGCTGCTGCAGCTATCCGGTGGGGTGAAGACGTTGGCGTCCGCATCAGGTATCGGAGATACAACGTTGCCTGTGAAAGTCTGGTACAGGAACTCTTCTGTGGAAACAAAATTGGCGTTGTTCTCTCTGAAATCACGCTGTGTTCAGTGAGTGAGTAAGTGAATGAGTTGGGTTTTACGCTGCTTTTAGTAATATTGGAGCAAAATCAAGGCAGGACACACCAGTAACGGTCTTTACACATTGTAAACGTGTGGGGAATAGACCCCGGGTCTTCGGCGGGATGAACGGACGCCTTAACCATAGGGCGATATATACGGTGCTACAAAACACAGACCCATCCGAAAACATTTGGTCCCCGTTTTACAAGTTTGTTTGTTTGATTGTCAGCAATATTCCAGCTATATATTAGTGTCGAGACCGGGCCACACAATTCAGTGATCAACAAAATGAACATTAGGACACGATGTGACCACCAAGTCGGCGAGCCTGACCACCAGATACCGTTAGTTGTCTGTTATGAAAAGCATAGGCTGCTGAAGACCAGTTCTATCCTGAATCTTAACGGGATTGTGGGGCTGTCAGGCTGGGAAAATAATAACAGAGTTTAGTGGATTCGAACTCGTACTGATAAGTTTCAGGCAATCATATTTTAAAAGAAATGATACCATTGGCACTTTGGACGGCTGTGCCCCTGTTTGGTCAGACTCCCTACGAATGGACGAGTAATAAGAATGAGACCATATCTTCACCATCTCAGTGCGATAGTACATACCCCCATTACGCCCCATTTTTGTAGACTGTATCGGAACGTAGGTGTCGCTGGTGATGGCGATCACTTCTCCGATTGTGCGGTCTTGATCGACCCCTTCAACGTAGTAGACCTTGGCAGTCACCGTGTCCGAACCATCAGCAGAAAAACCCATCTTAGCGTCGTACAGGAACGTTGCGTTGTCTGAAAGTACGTGTGGTTTTGTTTGTTTGTTGTTCAATGCACTCATCAATATTACAGCTGTATGGAGGCGGTCTGTAAATAATGAAGTCTGAACCAGACAATCCAGTGATCAACATTATAAGCATCGATCTACGCAATTGGGATACCAGGTCAGCAAGCCTGACAACCCGATACCGTTAGTCAGCTGCTGAAGACCAGTTCTAACCCGGATCTTCACGGGGTTGTCGTGCTGATACGCTGGCAACATAATCACCGGTGTGTTCTGGATTCGAACCCGTACAGAAAAGTTTCAGGCACGCAAAGGTGTACTGGAATCCAGACACCGAGTAAAAATCCGATCTGACACGTCTCTACGTGTGAGAGATTGAGTATCATTTTACGCTGCTTTTAGCAATAGACCAGCAATGTCAAGTTCCGGAAATCGAACCAATACTTTGGCATGAGGAGTCAGTGCCAGTGCCAGTTTACACCGAACAGGCCGCAATGTTCCATTCCAGACATTGTTTAAGCGTCAGTTTCTCTATAGAATCAAATGATGGAATTGGGTAGCTTTGTGGTTAAACCGTTCGCGCGTCACGCCGAAGACCCTGGTTCGATTCCCCACATGGTCCACCTCCGTGTTATTGTTTGAACATTCTTAGAATAAGCAGCGTAAGACTTAACTCACTCACTCACTCACTCTAGATTGGAGTACTGTTCTTATGATTTCAGTATGTTTCATCAAGAGACAAACGACATACGCGTCACTTCCTCGCCCCTAGGTGGCCAAATCGTCATGACCCGGATTAGAATCGGTCTTCATATGAACGTCGTAAGAGGAGACTAACGGGATCGGGTGGTCAGGCTCGCTGACTTAGTTGACACATGTCATCCTATCCCAGTTGCATAGATTGATGCAATCGCTTGAATGTCTGCACCAGGCTTCATTAATTACAGACTGCTGTCATACAGCTGGAATATTGCGTTAAACAACCAATCTTTAGGTTGATAGACGCACATGATGTCAATCACTGAATTGTCTGGTCCAGACTCAATTAATTAAAAAACGACCTCATACAGCAGGAATATTGCGTTAAACAACACATCTTTAGGTTGATAGACGCACATGATGCCAATCACTGAATTGTCTGGTCAAGACTCAATTAATTAAAAAACGACCTCATACAGCAGGAATATTGCGTTAAACAACCATTCTTTAGGTTGATAGACGCACATGATGCCAATCACTGAATTGTCTGGTCCAGACTCAATTAATTAAAAAACGATCTCATACAGCAGGAATATTGCGTTAAACAACCATTCTTTAGGTAAATCAATGTCAATCACTGGATTGTATGGTCCAGGGTCGATTATTTACAGACTGCGGTCAAATATTATACTACTGAGCTCGGACGAACAAAATGCTACGTGGATGTATATATTCAAAATGTGGTGCTCATAATATTACCGAGGCTTACCTGCAACGCACCATTCGTCGAAAGGGTCTGTCAGGGCCTTTGACTCGCATGTATTGTTAACCAGATAGATCTTGTATTCCTTTTTCTAAACACAAAAGAATGTTTCTAGGCATACAAACAAAATTCACTGACGGGTAGGGATTAAAGGGGTGGAAGTGTTGGTAAGTAGGGGTGGAGAGGTTGGCTGTGCAGCAAAACCAGGTGCCGCCAAGTTACTTACCCCTGCATAGTCTAAGATGACTTTGACGTCACCATTCCATATGCTACCCGAAGAGTTCGAGAGGACAGCAATTTTCTGTTGATTAGCGTCATAGTAGAATTGTTCGTGGACCTGTAGTTACATTTAAATACTGTATAATATGGTAACAATAAAAACATGAATAAAAATATTTTCCTTGCTTTAAGACCAAGTAATATAGAACAAATTGCATATATTTATGTGTAATAAATCCACGTGCAATCAATCAACGTATTGTCGATTAATTCTTTGATTGAATATTTTTACACGTCAACTGCTCAATTCCGTTATTGTGGTTCTACGTGCATACTGCATGACATGCAAGACATTCACGACATTATTGGTGAGTGCGGCGTAAAACTAAACTCACTCACTCACTTAGAGATACAAAAATCAAATCTGGTAGTATTTACCTCATCTCTGTAGGGCTCGTATTCGTTGTCTATTTTGGGTACTGACAGGACTGCAGATACTCGTTCCCCGCGCCATGAAGCAGGCGGACAAAACTGTTCAGCTACTGAACACCCGACCAGAACGGCAAAGCACATCAACCCAAACATCATGGCTAATGGTGATTCTTTAACCAAAATGCCAACTGATACATTCCTACTTTATATACCCATAAACACGCCATGTTACCTGGTTTATATTAATTTATTACTCAATTTATTGAGTAATACATTTTATTTGGTATGACTATCATTTTTTTATTTCAATCGCGATGTGTACCATGTGACGTTTCTAGATTGACCCGAGTCTTTGTAATAATTTAAAAAATAAAATAAAAATATTTATTGACTAAAGTGGTTTGAATGGGAATAACTAGTGTAATTTGAAAATTAATTTCATTTTCATTTCAGTCAAAACGTATACTGTCTGACCCTTAAATTTATATTTACCATAAATTTTATTTGTCCCTTAATTGAGATGGTTTACATGAAAATCAAACCTACCAACTCTCTCCGTAAGGTAAAAATCATATGCTGAAAAACGGATTTAGGAATCAAAACTATTTGGGGGGAATTCGTTATGCAGTTGTATTCTCGCTCACTGATCAAACGGAAAGTTTAGCAAAATATAATCTGCAAACCAAGGTTCCTTGGAAATGTGAATAAATATGTCTGAGTGAGCCGAACAGCTTCTGAAAAGTACCTGGCTTATGCCAAACATGAATAGTATCTAATGACTTTATGTTGAGATGTACTAGCACACGACCGTATGCTCTTAATACACCATCACACGACCGTGTGCAGTAAATATACCAGCACATTACCGTATGCTGTTAGTTTTAATTTTCCACACTAGTTTTAGTTGAAATTGTGATATTCTAGTTGTTTTATTGTCCTTCGTCGACAGGTTTTTATAATATACATCTATTCCATTTCAATGTCACATATATTCTCGTCACGATATGGCTTAAATATTGCCGATGTGACGTTAAATAATAACTCACTCACTCACTCACTCACTGTTAACTTACTTGCACATGAGCCTATGCTCTTAATACAACAGCACATGATCGTATGCGAATAATATACCAGCACACGATCGTATGTTGTAAATACAACGGCACATGCATGTATGCTGTAAATATACCAGCGCACGATCGTATGTTGTAAATACAACAGCGCATGCACGTATGCTGTAAATATACCAGCACACGATCGTTTGCTGCTAATATACCAGCAAATGACCGTTTGCTGTTAATATACCAGCACACGATCGTATGTTGTAAATACAACAGCACATGCACGTATGCTGTAAATATACGAGCACACGATCGTTTGCTGCTAATATACCAGCAAATGACTGTTTGCTGTTAATTTACTAGCACACGGTCGTATGTTGTAAATACACCAGCACAAGCGCGTATTTTGTTATTATACTAGCTCACGATGGTATGCTCTGAATATATCAGCACATGATGGTATGCTATTAACATATTAGTTCATGGTCGTATGCTGTTAATACAATAATACATGGTCGTTTATTCACAGTTTAGGGTCATTCCACAATAGTCAAGGTAATTATCGGTAGTCTGTATATGCATGATCAAGGCCATATTACAATCGTCAAGGTAATTAACGGAGGTCTGTATGTTAATGGTAAGGCCCATATTACAAAAGTCTGGGTACTTAACGCCGGTCTGTACATGCATGGTCAAGGCCATATTACAATCGTCAAGGTAATTAACGGAGGTCCGTATGTTGATGGTAAGGCCCATATTACAAAAGTCCATGCATGGTCAAGGCCATATTAACGCCGGTCTGTATATGCATGATCAAGGCCATATTACAATCGTCAAGGTAATTAACGAATGTCTGTATGTTGATGGTAAGGCCCATATTACAAAAGTCCGGGTACTTAACGCCGGTCTGTATATGCATGGTCAAGGCCATATTACAATCGTTAAGGTAATTAACGGAGGTCTGTATGTTGATGGTAAGGCCCATATTACAAAAGTCTGGGTACTTAACGCCGGTCTGTACATGCATGGTCAAGGCCATATTACAATCGTCAAGGTAATTAACGGAGGTCTGTATGTTGATGGTAAGGCCCATATTACAAAAGTCCAGGTATTTAACGGCGGTCTGTATATGCATGGTCAAGGCCATGTTACAATCGTCAAGGTAATTAACGGAGGTCTGCATGTTCATGGTAAGGCCAATATTACAAAAGTCTGGGTACTTAACGCCGGTCTGTATATGCATGATCAAGGCCATGTTACAATCGTCAAGGTAATTAACGGAGGTCTGCATGTTGATGGTAAGGCCCATATTACAAAAGTCTGGGTACTTAACGCCGGTCTGTATATGCATGATCAAGGCCATATTACAATCGTCAAGGTAATAAACGGAGGTCTGTATGTTAATGGTAAGGCCCATATTACAAAAGTCCGGGTACTTAACGCCGGTCTGTATATGCATGATCAAGGCCATATTACAATCGTTAAGGTAATTAACGGAGGTCTGTATGTTAATGGTAAGGCCCATATTACAAAAGTCTGGGTACTTAACGCCGGTCTGTACATGCATGGTCAAGGCCATATTACAATCGTCAGGGTAATTAACGGAGGTCTGTATGTTGATGGTAAGGCCCATATTACAAAAGTCCAGGTATTTAACGGCGGTCTGTATATGCATGGTAAAGGCCATGTTACAATCGTCAGGGTAATTAACGGAGGTCTGCATGTTCATGGTAAGGCCAATATTACAAAAGTCCGGGTACTTAACGCCGGTCTGTATATGCATGATCAAGGCCATATTACAATCGTCAAGGTAATAAACGGAGGTCTGTATGTTAATGGTAAGGCCCATATTACAAAAGTCTGGGTACTTAACGCCGATCTGTATATGCATGATCAAGGCCATATTAACGGAGTCAGGGTTATTAACGGAGGTCTGTATGTTAATGGTAAGGCCCATATTACAAAAGTCCAGGTATTTAACGCCGGTCTGTATATCCATGGCCCGGGCCATCTCACAATTGCCTGTATATCCATGGTCAGGGAGTGAGAATACAACTGCATGATGAATTCCCCTAAAAAGTTTTGAGCCCTGAATCCATGTTAATACATGATTTTCACCATCCGGAGAGAATGAGTCAGTTTGGTTTAAATTGAATTTATGTGAATTGAAATTGAAGGGTGACAGAGTATGCGTTTTAATTGAAATAAAAATGAAATGGATGTTTTGAAATTATGCTACCTACTTCCATTCACCCCAGTTTATTCAATCCGTACATTTTTTGGGATCGATAACAATCGGGCCGCCACAGTGTATGCGTCGTCATTGAAATAAAAAAAAATGATACCAGTTATTCTTAATGAAAGCATTCGATTCACTAAATAAATTGATCAGGAGAAATGATTAGATTTGTCCACCTGCTTCATGGCGCGGAGAAGAGTATCTAAGCATCTGCAGCCCTGCTACTAAAAACGACAACGAATACCAGCCCGACAGAGAAGAGTTAGACACCATCAGATCAGGTTCTGTATCCCTATGGTTCGCCAGGGTAGTTAAGTTTTGTTAAAGCATTTCTCATCAGGTGATTGGTAAAAGATCACAGGGAAAAGAGTCGCAATAACAAAATAAATAAATTCAATAATTTAGGTTGATATCATCATGATCATAAATCATACATATATAATTAAATAACAGATTCAAGCACACAGTTATTAAATCAGATAATAGAAATTGATATAGTCCACTAGCTTTCAGAAATCAATAAAAATTCTTTGTTAAGTCGAATGGCTGCTTGCTTCTTCATTTGGAGTCGAACTTTGGTCATCTCAATCTCGACGTAGCATGTATAATAGCTAATTGTGGTCAAAGTGCCATTATGACTTTTGAGAAGCCACATAGAAACTACTGTGTTAACAAAGCATAGGCAAAGTAATATACTAAGTCATTGATTTTATTTAGAAACAGATAAATAGCGTTTTACAACCCAGTATTATATATCTTGTAGTGAGTGAGTTTGGTTTTACGCCGCTTTAGCAATATTCCAGCAATATCACGGCTGGGGACACCATAAATGGGCTTCACACATTGTACCCATGTGGGGAATCGAACCCGGATCTTCGGCGTGACGAGCGAACGCTTTAACCGCTAGGTTACCCCACCGCTCCAAACATATATCGTTATGTGACTTATTTCCTGTGACTTTTTTTCCGGGACTTTTTATCATGTGACTTTCCGTTCGTGATTCGCTCGTCACGCCGAAGACCCAGGTTCGATGCCCCACATAACCCCCCCAAATTCCAGAAACACTCTGCACTGTGGCCAGTTTCTGACAAATGATTTGACCTGGGGTCTAAGAGCTTGGTCGATGTAGCGCACCACTGTGATGCCGCCTCCTCTCCCTAGACCAAGGTTCCGGAACACCACAGGGCCCACTCCCTGGTTCAGGCCTGTTCCACCCCATACACATTGGTCTGAGTAACGATGGCCACGTGGTCGCCATATTCTTGTTCTGACATCTGCAGTTGATACGCAGTACCGACTCTCATCTGTGAACAGAACAGTTCTCCATTGCCTGTATCGCCAGTTTTGGTGTTGTAGGGCAAACTGACGGCTCGGACACTGTGACTACCAATGTCTACTATAGTTTGGCATAAAATGCATGTGGACCCGGTTTTTTTGTAAATATCTCTTCATCCAATGACCCAAACGATCTCAAACTGTGCAAGTGGATGTTTTGTCAGACAACCTAATCACATTGTAAATCAATTTTATGCATTTGTATTAAAGAATCTGTCTATGCAACTGTGATTGTTACAGGTCATTGGCTCCCTCCCTCTGCAAGCAGTTTGCGTTCTGCTGTTTATTTTGTTGACAGTTACATAGACAGATTCTTTAATACCAATGCATAAAATCGGTGATTTACAATGTGTTTATGTTGTCTGACAAAACATCCACTTGCACAGTTTGAGATCGTTTGGGTCATTGGATGAAGAGATATTTACAAAAAAACGGGTCCACATGCATTTCATGCCAAATTATACGTTGAAAAGGTCTTTTCCGGCCACACAATCGGCCACGTGATCGCCATCACCAGCGACCTCAACGTGCCAGTACAGTCCTCAGTAT